CCCCCACTCCCCCCCTCACACACCCCCACTCCCCCCCACACACCCCCCACTCCCCCCCACACACACCCCCCACTCCCCCCACCCCCCACTCACACACCCCCCACTCCCCCACACCACCCCCCCCCACACCCCCACACCCCAAACACACCCCCCTCCCCACACCCCCCCCCCCCCCCACACCCCCACACACCCCCCACTCCCCCCACTCCCTCACCCCCAGAGCAACAAGGCAGTGAAACTGACCAACTGGAGGGACCTCATGTCCATTTCAGGGTCACACAGTGAGCTGAGCTGTGTTGGGGACCCTCTGGCTCCCCCTCTCCCCCCCCAGTCACTTACCTTACAGATGGTGAGGGTCTGGCTGTGCTCCAGCCCCCCTGTCAGGGTGAAGCCCCAGGGGGCGCCCCCTTGCAGCTGCACATGAGCCAACTGCAGGCTGCCCGCCGCCCCGCCACACTCCGGGTCCACTCCCGTTTCCATCACATTCCCGCTGCCCCCTCCCCTCCCCCCGCCCCCGGGGCTTCCTCACACACTGTTAGACTGGGACTCGCTGCGGAAATGACATTGGTTCACATCTGGCCTGAGCCCCGCCTCCTCTTGGATTGACAACCAACCCAACCAATAGCGTCCCTACTCCAATTGGCAGCGGGTGGACCCTGTGGGTGGACCCTGTGGGTGGACCGTGTGGGGGGCAGACCCTCAGGTCCAGTGGTTTCACACTGTACACCGCTAACCTTTGGATCTTTGAGAAGTCTCAAAGCGCTTCACGGGATATGCTGTAAAGTGAACTGACTGTATATTTTATGGGCGAAACGCGGCAGCCGATCGCGCACCGCAGCGTCCCCACAAACAGCCGTGGGGTTAAGTGACCAAATTATTTTTTTTAGCGATTATCAGTGAGGTTTAACCCGTTCGCTGCCGTAGTTAGCCCCCACCCCCGCACCAAGAAAAAATCTTCAGGGAAGTCACATTACGTCCCGCAAACAATGATATCGATGGCCAAGCTTTACACTGTATTCTGTGAAGTGCTTTGAGATGTCTCAAAGATGTGATAAGGCGCTATATGAAAATGCAAGGACTATTTATTATACAGGCTTCAGCAGTTAGCCCAACGCACACTGTGGGGTCCTCAAGCCTTGGCTCCTGCCAACCTGCGCCTAATTCTTTCCAGAATTAGGTAAACAGAATGAGTCCTTCCAACAAGAGAGAGAGAGAGAGAGCGCATTCCATTCCAACAATCTATCTCTGGGATTTCCATGTGTAGGTGGGACGCACGGAAATCTCAGCTTGGTTTGTTAGTGCAGCTTGCAGTGCAGTGCTTGGGGAGCGTATAATCATCAGAGGTGCATTAACTCAAAATCCCACCTGTTTAAGTTCAGGACGATGGACCTTTACCTTCTGTAAAGATCCCGCAGCATCAGTCAAAAAGAGAAGTCCTGGCTAACAATCTCCCAAGTGATTCATGACTGTTTGTGGGACATTTCTGTGTGCAAATATGACTGCTGTATTCACCTACAAATGCAGTCACTTCATTTCTTGGTCAGAATATTTTCTAACACATGTGCAAACCTATTACTGTGCTTTCGAGTATCCAAAGGCTGAGAATTCCATATGTGTATCCCTCCTACACATGGAAATTTCACCATGTCTGGAATGGAATGTGCAATCTCTCCCTGGCAGGACGCACCCACTTACTAAATTCCAGGGAGCATTACATACAGGTTGGCAAGAGCCAAGGTTTGAGGACCTCAGATGCTCTCCCTGGAGGGTCACATCCTGCTCATCTAATCCTAGAGAATTTAGACTTCGGGAGCCCAGAGTGTGCGTTGGGGTAACTGCTGGGGTCTAACCAGCTAAAGCTGCACAGCTTGCCTATGAGAGCACTGTCTGGGCTCTTTTGTGGGCCCTACCAAATCACTTTACAGTATAACCTGTGAAGGGCTTTGAGACGTCTCGAAGGTGTGATAAGGAGCTATATCAAATGCAAGGATTATTATTATAAGGGCTTTGGTTTGCAGAGTGGTAAATCCTCCAAATCTGCCCCTGCAAATCCTACTAGCTGGTCTGCATAAGCGGTTTCCTGGAGCACAGCAGAAACTCGTGGTTCAGGACCCAAACTACCAAAACCATCACAGAGGATTGGCTTTATGCCAAGCAGGTCACCCTGGAATCACTTTAGCTCCAAAGTGACGCTGCTTACCTCTCTCCACCCCCTCCCCCCGGAGGAGAGTCACAGAATTCCAAACAATCAAATGGGACCTGAGTTTAACGTCCCATCTGAAGAACACATTGATCAATGCTCCTGGGTGTGCAATGTCAACTCAGATTGAGCTCCAAATCCCAACGTGGGCCTTGAACCCAGAGGTAAGGAGATTAACACGGGAATTTCCATTTCAAACCACAATAGTTCTTGAGAGCCCTACAAAGGAATGGGAAGCATATCGTTCACACCCTCTCGCTCCACAGCATGATTAAATTGGTATTAATTGGCCTCTTCATGCAATTGAATGATTAGCACATTTAGGAGGTGACAATGGGCTCATTATCCGCTCTTTGTGATGGATCAGGATAGACGAAGGAGGCTATGTTGTGAGGTTGCTTTGCAGTTTGTGGTAATACTCCTTAATAATGATAATAATGTCTTTCTTTCAGGTATGAGAGGAATCCCAAACAGCTTCACTGGATATCTAGGGAAAGTGCTTATTTTTGTATATGAATACAGCAGTCAATTTTTGCACCACGATGCCTCCCGAACAGCCATGAAGTGAATTTGTGATTTTACCAGGGGATTGTCAGCCAGGACACTGGGAGAGGAAATTCCCTTATCTTTTTGAATAGTTCTATGAGATCTTTAACATCCAGCTGAAACTTGCCTAAGATTTCGCGCCATCCGGGAATCGATTCCAAGTCCTCTCACTTGGCCTCTCAAGGAGAATGCTCTAACCAATATGTTACAGGACTCACTCATTCACTTCATGGCTGTTCAAGGGAAATTGCTGTGTGCAAATTGGCTGCTGTGATCAAGTACCAAAATAAATCCTTTCTCCACATATACAACATTGTGCTGGAATGCGGTCTAGCCTGTGAACGCAAAGTCCTAATGTGGAGCTTGAACCCACAAGCTTCTGACTCAGAGGCGAGTGCACTACTAACTGAGCTAGGCTGACATCTTACATATATACAGGGGCAGAAGGATAAACCCGGGAACTACAAGCCAGTCAGCCTAACGTCAGCAGTGGGGAAACGTCTGGAGACTATAATCCGGGACAAAATAAATATGGGTTAATAAAGGACAGTCAACATGGATTTGTTAAAGGCAAATCATGTCTAACAAACCTAATAAGTTTTTTTGATGAAGTAATGGAGCAGGTGGATGAAGGTAGTGCAGTTGATGTAGTTTATATGGGTTTTCAAAAGGTGTTTGATAAAGTGCCGCATTAGAGACTTGTAAGCAAAACAGAAGCCCAAATACAAGGGACAGTGGCAGCGGATACAGTACTGGCTGGGAGATAGAAAGCAATAAGTGACGTTGAACGTTATTTTTCTGACTGCAGGGAAGTGTCCAGTGGTGTCCCCCAGGGGTCAGTTTTTGCTGTTTTTGATCTATATAAATGACCTGGACTTGGGTAAAGGGAGTACAATTTCCAAGTTTGAAGAATCATTTAGGGATGAAGAATGAGGAGAGGCGATATAAGATGATGGTACAATCTTAAAGGGGGTGAAGGAACAGAAAGACCTGGGGGTCATATAAGTAAATCTTTGAAGGAGGCCGGACAGGGAGATAAAGTTAAAGAAGCATACGGGATATTAGGCTTTATAAATAGGGGCATAGAATACAAAGGTCAGGAAGTTATGATGAATCTTTATAAAACACTGGTTAGGTCTCAGCTCGAGACTGTGTTCAGTTATGGGCCCCACACTTTAGGAAGGATGTCAAGGCATTGGAGATGGTGCAAAGGAGATTTACCAGAATGGTACCAGGAATGAGGGGCTTCAGTTATCAGGAGAGGCGAGAGAAGCCGGGATTATTCTCCTTGGAGCAGAGAAGGTTAAGACGGAGACTTAATAGAATTATGAGGGGATTTGATAGGATGAACAAGGGGAAACTATTTCCACTGGCGGGTGGGTCGGTAACCCGACGACACTGATTTTTAAAATAGTTGTTAAAAGAAACAGAGGGGCGGTGAAGAGAACTTTTTCACACAGCGAGTTGTTGGGATCTGGAATGCATTGCCTGAAAGGCTGGTGGAAGCCGATTCGATAACAGCTTTTAAGAGAGAAGTAGATAATTATTTGGGGAGGACAAGTTTGCAGGGTTATGGGGAGAGAGAGAGCGGGGGAGTGGGGTTGATTTGGATAACTCTTTTCAAAGAGATGGCACAGACTCAATGGGCCGAATGGCCTCCTTCTGTGCTGTATAATTCTATGATTCTATGATATAGTTTCTATCAAGTTAAAGATAATAACAATTCTTGCATTGATATAGTGCCTTATCATGTCATTGCGACGTCTCAAACACTTCGCCAGCTATACTGTAAAGTGCAGTGACTGTGTATTTTGTGGGCGAAATGTGGCAGCCAATTGTGCACAGCAGTATCCCACAAACAGCCATGAAGTGAATTTTATTTAGGGGATTGTTGGCCAGGACACTGGGAGAGAGAAACTCCCTTCTCTTTTAGAACAATGATACAGGATATAATATATAGGAGCAAGGATGTGAAGGAATTTGTAGATGAGAGTGAAGATCTTGAATTCATAAGAACATAAGAATATAAGAAATTCTAGACGACAAAAGGCCAAGGTTCATCTAGTTCGCCTTCCACCTTCCTGGCGGTCGCATGTACACATGTCCCAAATATGTACCTGTGTACTATATCACATAATGTTATTTCCTAAAAGAAAACTACCTAAATGTTGAAAGAATCAACATTTCCTGCTTCAACCATCTCCGGAGGGAGCCTGTTCATAGGTTGACTATTCGCTCACTGAAATAGTGTTTGCGTAGATTTGTTTTGAATTTACACCCCTTCAATCGCAGGCGGTGTCCTCTGGTTTTACTCTTCTGGACAAGTTGAACAACTTGTCATGATCAATATTGTGTAGCCCCTTTAGAATCTTAAAGACAGCAATCGTGTCACCTCTCAATCTTCTCTTTTCCAGCGTGAACATGTCCAATTTACTTAGTCGCTCCTCATAGTCCAGTCCTTCCATTCCCTCAATCATTTTGGTTGCCCTGCTCTCTATCCTCTCAATTTCTCCAATATCCTTTTAGTACTGCGACGACCAACACAGTGCTCTAAGTATGGTCTCACCAATGATTTATACAGTAGCAGGATTACCCCACTATTTCAGCTTGCTATTGATCTTTTATTACATCCCAACATCTGGTTTGCTTTACTCACTGACACATAGGATTGTTGGGAGAGCTTCAATGTAATAATAATAATAATAATCCTTGCATTTGATATAGCGCTTTTCAC